CTTTTTTTTTTTTTTTTTTTTCCTAAAGCTGAGGTTGAAAAACTTTTGATCAAATCTAATATGTTTGGGGAAAAAAACAAATCTCTGTTCAATGGCTGGAAACATTGAAGAAACCCAAAGTTTTTTCCCACAAGATCCTGATTGAAGAACTTTCTATGTTGAAAATATAGATATATTTATATATATGAATATATATAAATCTTTCGACAATGGTAGTCAAAGTTTTTCAAATAAAACCAGAGGAGGTTTAGATGTGGTTTGCCAAGGCTACTTGAAATTCCCCAACATATGAATGAAAAGCACTACAAAGACTTTAATTCATTACAAGTTTGTCGCTCTTTGATTAAACATCTTCTTGTGCTAATAATTCTCAGTAGCACAGTACAACATATGCTGCAGAAACCCCTGAGGCAGCCAAGGAAAACCAAGCCAAAACCAGCAGAGAAGTCACTTACCTGTCTGAACTCCTCAAGGTCTATTTTGTTTCCCACCAGAACCACAGGGATGTCATAAGTGTGCCGGACACGATAAATGAGTTCCTTAAACTCAGCTGCTTCTTGAAAGGATTGTCGGTCTGTGATGGAATAGCAGATAATGAAGCCTTCTCCACCTCGCATGTACTGGTCCCTCATGGCTGTGAATTCTGCCTGCAGAATAGGAAGAACACTCTCAGTAATCTGGCAAACAAAATTATCCATCTGTAAATAACAAACTTGCAGAAAACTTCCCCGGTTCCTTACATAAATTCACATTGTTTGTTTTACCCTTGTAAATACTGCTTGCTGAAATTTGTGCATCATTCTGGGTTCACCAAACCCAATAATAAGAATTTCTTTTAGGACTATTTTATTTTTTTTTCCCATCAGGGGAACTCTGTCCTCTAAGAATATGAGCATATTATTCAACTGCCTACATACAGAAAATACTGTGTCATGTATTATCAGAAACTTCTTCAGTGCTGTTAGTACAAAAAGATGATTTACATCTGAATGAATATGAACAGGTGTAAAAGAAGCTATATTGCTATCTAGGAATTTGAGACAGGTACAAATTCCTTATTGTGGACTCAATAAAAAAGCTCAGTAATATCAAAAAGACACTCATTGGTTGCCACCAGGTGTGGAGCAGTGCCTAACAAAACAGATCCAATCTGCAAAAAGTTCTGCTTTTTCAAAGTGTCTCAGAAAAGATGGAGGCTTCACTTCAGTGTGGGATAATGTCATTAAATGAGAAGGAACAATTTCAAACAGTGCAAGAACCAGCCTCATTATCTCCTGTATTTTTCTCGTTTTATGTATATGTTTATTGCTGGAGCAATGCTTCTTGTTACTGGTATGTTTTTTTTCAGAAGCTTTTAATAACTGCTGCATTGTACCAAAAGAATCAAGATTTAGATTTCAGAAACTAGTCTCAGGCACTGTGGCTTGAGAATATGTTTCAAATCCAGTTTCTTTCTCAAGTTTGTTTGCTTTTCTTGATCACAGCCCAGAATAACCCAATACCATGGCAACAGTCGGTCAGGATCAGAATCCTCCTGACAGAATCAGTTCTCCAGAGATATTAAGATGCAGAAAGGTCTGATAAAAAAGGAGTACACATATCAACATTGGACCATTTCTATGAGCAGCAGGATGCTGCATAAAATCCTGCATTTTTTACTCTATTGAGAATTTAGGCTACAGTTTTTTTTAAAATAGTTTAGTTTACATATATATACCCTCAGCCCTTGCTGAAAATTGAAGGGAAATGGATTTCTTATGCTCTTGTAAAAGTCTCAGCCTTAAATCTCTCTCAATAGTTGCTCATGTTGATTGACAATACTTCCTGTGAATAGAGTTTCATGTTGACCATTATCATTTATTTATGATGTATCTTTTACCCGAGGGCTGTATATATCATTCAAAACTTTTCACCTGCTGCAGGAAAAAGTTCATTCCAGTAAGCTTCAAAATGGCAGACCAATAAGCAATTTAAGGGTAGGATTCTGGTTTGAGACTTACTCATAATTTGAAAATCTCTGAATTATCACCCCATGGCACCCCAGGAGAGTTTATTAACTACCAAGCTACAAGACATAGTGGGTCAGGTCATGACATAGCCCATCCTCTGGAAACTGGATGTGCCAGCAGTGGGGCAGCAGAACACTGAAGAAGGAAGCACTCTGGTTTTGAACAAGATACTGAACAGTGTTCCCAGGTCTTTTCCAGCAGCCTACATTAGATAGCTACTAGATTAATAAATGGTGCAATACAAAACTCTACATCACATTCAAAGTCTCCAAGTTGAGAGAAGGGAGTGTTAATGACTGAACACAGTCATTTAATCCATTTTCTGCCCTCAGACCCCAAGCTTATACACCAGAACAAAGATCTCACTGCAGCCCTCATCCCATGTGACCCTCATTTTCTTCTCTTTGCACCAGACCCTTAGAAGTATTCTACACCATTATTAGGTGTGTAGTCTCCTTTACAGGAGGAATACCCAGATTCCTTCAGACTGAGCAGACTATGGAAGCCTTCAGTGAAGTTAAATTTGTGAATGAGGCTTCTGAATTTATCTGGCTGTGCAGCTGTAGTCTGCTGTATAAACTGTCCTTATAAAATGTGGTAAACAATTCAATGTCAATAATGGTCTACAAGCTGCTTCTGATGCTGGAAAATAGCTATACCATTAGTTATCTTATTATCTATTTTTTGAACCTACTATTTCTTTTTAGAGGGTTTATACAACAGAGTGGAGCTGATAGATAAAAATCCATGTTTTCACATGGAACCTAACGCCCAGACCAATGACCTGTGTCCTTGAATTAAAAATTTCATAAATCAACTACTGTACCACTGTATGAAAACTCTGCACAACCTTTTAGAAAGAATGAGCTGTTTAAGTGAGGTGATCCACCTCTAGGAAGTGCTCAGAACTTTGTACACTCATTTATAACTATTTATGGCAAACCAAGAAGGAATTAGGTCACACATTGCTGTTCAAGTTACTCACAGTAAGTGATGTTCTGGAGTACTCCCAGGATCACTCCCCAGGGATGCTTAATGGCTTTCCCTGACTGACAGGAGGCCCTGGGTTCCTAATTTCACACACTGAATCATTCCAAAGGGACAAAGTTCTCAGCTTTTAGGACTGACAATTTTGAGTCAGAATCATCTACCTACACATTCTGGTTCATGCTGGGGCATAGTTAAGACTTTCAGGATAGGAATGAGTTTACTTATGCATTTTTTTTTTTTATGACATGTTATTATTGCTGCTAAATTAGACAAAACAGGTAAAATACTTCAATGTCATGTTTGCAATGATCCATTCTCAGAGGCATTAAGTATTCTTTGCAAACTGGAATGAGGACATAGACTTGGCTGTCTGTTGTTAATTCAGCTAGTGATTTCCAATCCAATTTTTTGATGTTGACATTCATTTCTCAGATTTTCCCCTTGGCATGATTGCTCAGTACAAAGTCAAGGACTCCAGGGTCAAACTTAAGTAAGTCTGTTTTTTGATTTCAAAGTAAGTGGTTGATTTGTTTTTGGTTTTTTGTTTGTTTTTTTTTTCAACCAGGAACCTCAACATAATAATATATACTAAGATAAAGAATAAATTTAATTACCAATAAATATGCTAAAATCTTTGCAAATCTGTATGCATATTATATATAAAAGACAAAGGATTAAGAAGAAATTACATCTCTTTGTTAATTTTTAAGTTCAAATCTTACTCCAGATTCCACTTTTTTCACGTTTCTTTCTCTACAGTAAGCAGAACTAAAAACCCAAGATGACCTGGATTTCGTGAATTTTCAGGTGCAGATAGAGACAAAGCCTAAGGTTTTACAGGTCTTCCAGTATTTATTTTTTTATATTTTGTCTGGTTCCCTTGTGAAATAAGCTGTGCATCTGTCACACTAATATCTTCTTTAATTTTTTCTGGCTGTAAAAGGAAACTCTTAAAAATCATTCAGGAATAGTACTGGATACAAATTTCTACTCAATAAAGGTAAAATACAAAACATTCCCAAGTCAGTAAATGCTGCAGGGAAAAGACAGAAGGAAATCACACCCCCTAAAAAGGAAATAAATTCTGAAAATTAAAGTGAAGACTTGTCATGCTTGCAGCACTTTGCAGCTTGACATCAGTCTCGAGTACTCTCTTGTGTATTGTGACTAAGACTTAACTGAAAAGTGTGGTAAAAACTCTTTTGAAACCAAATCATCATTCTTCTTAGGAGATGTGATACTTGAGAACAAGCATCAAGTTTGGATAGAAAAAAATCTAAACTTTTTCAAAAGTTGAAAGAAGGCAACAGAACTTTTTCCTTTTATTTTTCCAATATAATTGAATGCAGAAATAAAAAAAAGCCACTAATCCATATAAGATTATATATTTCTAGCTGTTGTTGAAGAACATTGCCAAGAACATCCCTTGATGGTTAGGCTGCTTCTAGAGAGACATCACATTTGCCTTTTTTCAGTGATCAGGCATCTGACATGGTTTTTCAAGGGTATCAGAATGGCCTCACAATGACATTGAGCAGCTTCCTCAACATGCTTGGATGTGCTTCATCCTGTGGTACTGAACTGCCTACTAATCAACTGGAGATTGAGTCACTTCTCCCTTATTTATCCTCCTTTACTCTCTCTCTTCCTCAAACTTTCCTGGGAGGTATGGGAGCAGAGCCTGCCTCTGAAGGCTGGGAGAGGGGAAGCCTTAAGTGTATTTGTACACTCCATGTTCCTCGTTAGGACACTTACTTGTTCCGGCAGCAGCCCCAGATTTTTCATGATCTATGTGGAACTGCCAGTGTACTTGTAGAAACATGTTTCATTGCCTTTTAATCTCTCAAAATTCTCAATTCTAGCAACATTTTGTCTTTCATAATCCAGTCCATTCATGCAAAAGAAATACTTCCATAGCTATCCTTGGGAGAGTGTTCCTATCTCCACATTTCTTGGTCCTGGATATTCTTGCTTTTTCTAGCAGCTTTTAAGAAAATAACTTAGCAAAGAAATAATGGCTAAATTCTCTTTTCTGTCCTTCATCTTCATTCACACTCTTCTATCTCACATTTAATGAGAAAATTTTTCGTAAGGAACAGTATTTTTAATTAATTTAAAAATTCATATTGTTATGGATATATGAGTAGAATTTGTATGTTGGGGTTTTCTTTTATTAGAGATCAGAATATTTTTCCAAATAAGATCAGTATCTTAACATGTCCAGAAGAGGAAACAAAGTCATTGAAGAGTAAAGTCACACTAGATCTTTATGAAGGATTGGTCTGTGTTGTTACCAAACATAAGTCTGGGTCTCATGGTCAGCACAGAACAGGCCTGCCTTGCTGACTGAAAGAGTCTAGGATTGTGTATAATAAAGTTCAGCAAAGCTAGTTTGTTTCTTTACTGTTTCCTATGTCTTTCCTCCTGAACAATGCTGGAGAAGCAGTGCTGGGCTGGAAAATCTTTTATGCAACTGAGAAGTTGTTTAGAAGCAGCATCTCCCACATCACCACTTTACACCAGCAGAGCTCTAAAGTGAAGCCATTTCTCCCAGATGCCCATGTTTTGCATAGCTAAGAAATGGCCTTGTCATCCCTGAAAAGGATAAAAGGGAAAGAAGAGAAGAACAAAAAAAAAAAAATGCACAA